GTAGGGCTAATCTTGTTACACTGTTCAGGGGACTCTCAACAACCATCGCAAAGTACAGTTTTCTGCGAGTTTTTGATCTTTGTTTTCACCGCGAGGGTTGCAAGGCGGTAGAAAATGCCCGGATGTCCGCCCCCGAGGATACGTATAATCACGTCTTCAAACAACACATTCACCGGCCATATATATCGTATATAATTACTCACAGGCTAAGTTTTGTGAATATAGCACTACCAGCACATGAACAAGATTGAACAAGATCGTGAATTAGATGACATACCGTAATAGGTCATGTGACGTTGTTAGCGTTTCATACCGCAAACAAAATTAAACGTGTTGAACTGTACAAACTATATCAGACGAGGTTCAGATTATTTGCATAAAACTACGCAATTAATTACTAGTCATACTTCTTCTACAGTCACGCCCTCTAGCGACGAATCGCTTCGATGGCGTGAATGAGTGACATGGAGATCATTAAAATTGCCGATATAGATTTTGATCTGTAGTCGTCCATTAAAAAAGATTATGTTTTGAGAGATTTTATTTTTTTTTTAGTTAAGAACCAACTGCATCTTCAAACACCGGTTTATAAGCAATACTTTCACCCATATACGTCAGTTTCATACCACAGAAGCGATATATAAGGAAAAACCGGATTTTGATTAAGAAGGGTCACGTGATGAGATTCTATGGATTGAGTCGAATCTACACAACAGCTTGGTGATGTTCGCCTGTTTACAAACAACTTTTTTATCTTGATATCTTGCGAAATGCTGTAATTGTTTCATTACTCATTCACGTGTCATAAACAATATATATATATACGATAATACAACTTTAATATGGGGAATAAGTTTGCAATTATGCTATGGAACACGTTAAGTCGACTTTTAGAATAGGGAATAAAACACTCGTAGTTGTACGTACCACTTAATGAGATCACCAACAAAATGAGATAGAGTTTCATGGCACCCGTAATCTAATTGTGTATATGTCCTGAAATTATAAGGTGAAAACATTTAAAAATTTTCGCATCCTCAGTGACAAAGCAATTCGTTGAAGTTGTTTTGACCAGTGGCTGTCTTTAAAAAAAATGCGTACACCCACACGACAACGTCATTCTGATGATACAAAAGCGTTTATCCGCTAGAGGGCGTACCAAATTAAGAAGAAGCACTAGAGCGGAGTATTTATATGTAACACACACTAGCACTTCGCATTGTCATTAGAACCGCATTTGGGTAATACCCTACAATATAGACACCCGCATTACCACGGCTATTAAATACGAAGTTCAGAGAAGAAGGAATTGAACGTGACATTCCTTCAAAAATCATTGAAATATGACACTAGACATCTTCTCCTTATCATATAGGTCGATTCATTCGTTCGGACGAGAGCTCGAGTCAGCCTGTAAATATGCTTATATATAATAGATGCGAGCAACTTATTACTGATTACATATATGTACTTTGTACTCAAATACTGATGGATGTTCTGAATAGACTATTTCCGCGTATCAGTAGTTATATTGACACTCATAAGCATACTTACACATCATGATATACTAGTAACTGCGCGAGTAGCGTTATTTGTAAATGACGTAACTTATCTGTATTAAGTTCTCAATCAACATCGCTTCAACAATTAAGAAACTCACCTCAACAATAATTGTTGGAAAATAATTCAGCACAGACAACTGACCCCGGCATTGTGGAGGAGGGGGAAAGGGGAAGTCATTATTAACATACTTGAAAATTTAAAAAGAATAACAAAACTTTCCGCCGATTGACATGAATAAGTAAAACATCCATACCTTTGCTATTTCGATATAAAACCGTGGATAGTAGGACTACGCATGTGTACTTGTCGCCGTCGTCAGTGTTTATTTTTAGAACTGAGTTAATCAGTAGAGACAATGATTATCAAACAATTCCAGTGTTGTCAAAATCGTTCCATCCACTCGGCATCGCCCATTTTATTTTTTTTATGGATTCCAGTTGACAACATAAAAGTGTAATTTTTCTGTAAAACCTGTTTCTTGACATAGTTTCAGCAGAACTTGAGTGATTATCATTATCGCACGCAACAATTCGTCTGTATTACCATCCAGCAACGCGTGCAACTTGTCATACATTGCACTTTGAACCTTAGAGATAGTCTATCTGTCACCATATCGCGTAACACAGAGCAACGTGCTCTGTTTTTATGCTTGGATAGTAATTAGCGTCGAAACTTGTGATATCACTAAACAACTAGGTCAATGCATGCATTACGGATTTCTGATTTCATGGCCAAATAGAGTTTCCATAATACTGTAAAATACTTTATTTAGCTGAAATTCATTTTCGCTGAAAAAGACTTTTTGGCTGTTTTGTATGTAATTTATTTTCACTGATTTGTTTTCTAATTGAATGTAAAATATAGGAAAAACAGTATATTCGCTGTATTTTATTTTCACTAAATTATCCCTTCAGCGAAAATAGTCAAAATTAATTCAAAGCGAAAATAAAGTATTTTACAGTACATTGATGGCGTCCGATGCATAGTATTCAAACATACGCAATATATCGACAACATCAATTTACTTCTCGAACCGTCAACTTAAAGTTAGTATTATTTAGATACTTAAAATGAGCTCAAAATCATACGCTCAGCTCAAATAGCTTATCGTATACACACCATAGTATTGTTCTAATACTGATATTCTCGTAAAATTCTGATTGAACTAAAAATCAGACTAACTTGGCTGTTTTAGAAATAGACAAGTTAAATTAGGACACATTAGAACAAATCTTACGCATGGATGTAACTTTTCATTTGCTAGTCTCTGAAGCAGGGGACTCTGGGAGTGTTTAATTTATTCATTCTACATTCTGCATGTAATCAGTACTATGATATGTCACCCTTAAATTATTTTATATAAGCCATGTGCCACATGTACATTGTACAGAGTTCGTGTAAATGGTTCTGCATATATTGTATGTACACGCGGAATGATAACAACTTGGGTTCCATGCGATCAAGTAATACACCAAACGACGAACGTTGTAAAATCTGTTCATCTTTTTCTCAATATGTGGGGATAGTGAACTCGAACACTGTAAATTTAGAATTCAAGATGACGAAACTATTGTACGATCGATTTTATTTGCCGAGTTTAACAAAACAAGCAAGCATGTTAACATTGTCACAACAGCTCCAAGCAAAAATTCGTGTTCGAGTCGCATGGAAGCAGTGTGCTGATATTTAACAAAATCTCGCATGTCACACATCAGGACAGCAATGCTAGATGCATCTCTTGGAGTTTACGAGAACCGTGAAATAAGATTTTACTAATCATAAATCAAATACACCACGAAATAAATCATTCTGACATATTTATTGAATCTACTTTCAAACGGATACATACTATATCGTCGTTGCTAGGCAAACTGATGACATCACGTTTCAATTTCCATTACAGACTCAGAAGAGAGATTGGGCCGCTATCGATGGATTGTGATTCGAACCCGAATACTAATGACTGAATAATATTTAGTCACGGTGATTATCAATAGAGAGGGCTCTTGTACACAAGACCCAAATTATTTGTCAGCGTTTCCCGATTCTCAGTTGACCGAGTCGACAACTTACAGGCAAAAATAATATAAAGTTGTTCTATAAAATCACAAATTTTAACAACGTTTAAGTCTTAGCAATGTTGACATTGAGGGCGTTTCACAGGACTGCAATAATTGCTAAAAAACGTCAACCGCGTTTTTAGCAACGTTTCAGAGAGAAATTAATACTGTACAAAAAACATCCGTGAAGAGATTGAACACTTTGTTGCACGTTCATATTTCCCTATCATGTCACGGTGCAAATTTGAAATAAACGATCCAAGGCGTGTGAGTTGTAAACTCAATTTCCAGTCTATTATATTTGCTTTTTTTGTTTGCTATACCTCCCTCAACGGTATCAGTTAGTATATACCGGAGTTACAATAACGTGACAGCAAGCGGCTTGAACCGAGCCTGCAAGCTTAGAACTATTCGAACAGATTATAATGTACCTCATAATCAGTAATTGTTGTTTTCTCTTTTTCCAGAAAAAAATCGTTACGACATAATTATTCAGCCGTTGGCAGACGAAATAATTAGAAATGGTCGCCCAGCAACCGATTGTAAGTGTCTTACCTGGACCGGATAGTACCATCTGGTACAATTCCTCTTTGTCGCGATGTATATACAGAGTATATTTTACGAGAGATTATTTAATCGACCAACAGTTTTCCGGAACTCGCTGATACGATGTCATTGAGAGTACATTTATTAAACAAGACGTGAAATGTAACATTTAGTCGAATGTTAACTATTTTTGAATACTCCTTCCTTTTCATAATCAAAATTAATTATCCAAAAAGTTTTTTTAATTTAGAAGTACAGAAATTCATTTTATTAGTTACACTTCACCAACACTATGATATGAAATTTGAAATAAATTATTGAATTATTAGTTGGTACATCGAGGTACCTGGGCATACTTTCTGTTGCCGAGAGCAACTGCAGATTATAGTATTAATTTTACTTTTAATAACAGTGAATGTTAATAGTGACTTGGGAGACATTGGGTATGAGTAAAATTCAAATATTGATATATAATAATGTAGCATCGTTGCCAGTGTTTTTGATTGAATCTTTGGAGCATTATTTGTACTTTCTGACATGGAGTGAATCAAGACTACTTAGTTTCTTTCCTAAAGTCACTTTATTATTATTCATTTGAACAAACAAAAGAACAATTTGTTTCAAACTTTACAAAAAATTACGTTGCTGCTAAAGAGCGTGGTCGTCACGCTGCTCGTGTTCCAATTTCATGTAAACAAACAATGTATTTTAAACGCTTTGTATACGTCGCTATGAGTCCCATATCGAACCGGGCGAAGTGCGATGATCATTTGTGTGTATTAGTTCCTTCTTGCAGGTACGGAGAAATTGAACTGTTCCAACCGTTTTATTTCAAAGCATTGACATTTCTTGCGCATTCTCAGAAATACGACTAACTCGTGGATGCTGTTGATTTTGCTGACCATTCTGCGTCCTCCCAGGCTCAACGGATGGCGATTTTAATGAAACGCAGCTGACCATCCGCTTCAGCGTCTTTCTAAACAGGGGATTGCTAAAACCGTAGACAAAGGGATTAACACAGCTATTACAAAAGCCAATGAGTATTACTACTTCTCTGGCTTCCTCGTACGGATTTTGTACTCCAAATGTAAACAGTAAATGTGTTATATGATTTGGGGCCCATAGCAACCCGAACAGCACGGTAACCACGTACAGCATTTTGACTACGTGGACCTTCGCTCTCACAAAAGCCGAAGCAATGCCGTTCTGACTTCCGTTCTGCATCGACCTGTTCCTTTCTCGTAGGTACCGGAGTATTCGGTAGTAGGCGACGAACATAATCACGAGCGGCAAGGCATATTCCGACAAAAATATCCAAATACCCAAAAGTATTAGGGCAGCTCCAGTGGGCCACTCTAGAATACATACGCCATCTTGGTAGTCATTCAGGAATACAGTAAAAAATTCTAATATAAGAGTCAGTATCCATAGCAACGTTAGCGATAGTTTAGCCTTTTGTTCAGTAAACATTGTAAGATGTTTAACTGGATAGATTATAGCCCAGTACCGTTCTAGGGTCACCAAGACAAGATTGTACGTGGACGCCGCGAAAAAGTAGTATAATATAGCATCGGAGTACCACAGGCGGCACAAGATTTCCCCGCCTATTCCTGAAGGCACTTCTCCATAAGGGTAAGGAAGAAAGAATACGGAGGCGAGAAGATCGGCAACGGCTAAACTCGTGATGTAATATTTTGTGACGGGACGCATGGGTCGGATCTTCCGTATAACCAAGATGACCAGTAGATTCCCATTTATGCCCGTAATGCTGAGAAGAATTCGCACGATGTTGTATCCGAGTTTGTTATTTTCCCAGAATCCCATTATTAAACACAACTTGAACGCTGGAAATAAGTGGAGTCACGGCTACCAGTGCGCTCGACTGAGTTTGTTTGTGTAACTGATGACATGTTCCAAACAGCGTCGATCAACCGATGAATATTCGATTTCTGCGGATGAACGTTCAATTTCGCATACGTTTCCGTTTCGATGCACCGTAATGATTTTACACACTGCGTTTATAGCAGAAAACCCGCTCGGACAAATATTGCGAGTACAACGCGTATACTCTACACTACAAAGCGAACCTCAGTTATTTCGCGTTCGTAGTTGAACACAGTATGACACAGATGAATGTATTCACGATCTTGTGAAACGATGGCTCAAAATAATTAATAGGTCGCGGATGATTAACAGCCCACCGCTTCGTAAAAACATTTTGAAGTGTTGACAGTCATCACAAGAACCTTATCTGTAGCCAAGTACACCATACACTGTGTAACTTAATTCTATTTGTGGCATACTATGTTAGTTTAAACAGCTGTGGCTATGGGCAACAAGTCGTAATTATCGCCTAAATGACAATATATGGGCATCGTAAACTAATTCATTTGCTCGTGCGTGTTCTCAATTGTTTTACCTTAGAACGATGCTACATATTCGCATTTGTATTGAATGAATGCTTCTGAGACGATTTTCAAATTAGGTAGAACGGCCACTTTCATTCAAAAAAACGACTAGATGTAAAACATTAATTCTATAATTAGTATATTCGATTGGTAAACGAGATAATATCTGTCTTAGCCGCTATGTTTCTTGTTTAAATATTAAAATATTGTTAATTTCAAGTTGTCTCTATTTCTACTTTTATATGCTCCCAAATACCGGTAGAAACTGTAGACCGAATCATATTATGCTGTAACATGAACTAAAAATGTCGCGCTTGTAGAACACAATAACAGTAAACAACTAATGCGCATGTATTTAAGTGTTACTGTACGTACCCAAAATACCAGTGCACATGCGTATTAAAGAATTACATTGTTCCATCGAACGATTACTCATATGTGTGCTACAGCGTTTTTAGTTCTTGAAAAATCATAGTCCAATGTGTTCAATTAGATACAGCAACTAACAGGGATGTTAGCTTTGCTGTGATAAACCCTGTCAATGTAAAAGTACATAGGACTGGCAGGAAACGTTCAAACTAGCATGGTGGAACTGTTCGAATATGTGATTGTTCATATAGTCTTTATTCGACTTCTTGAAATCTGCTCGGCCGTTATCTTTGACACTATGTATGTTGGACCCATAGACAGAATTCTATCAAATTTGTTCATTTCGTGGTGATATTTTGAGTTCATTTATAAACCGGATATTTTTTTACATTTCTATATTTATTTTTTGCGAATGTCCGTACCTTATTTCACCAAATAGATTTAGATATTTATCTAGCAGTTCAATGTCACCCTGTTTATACAAACCTCTACGAGCGTCAGCCCACCAGTCAGTTTGAGCACAGTCGTCTACAAGCTCAACTAACACTCTTCACTAAAAATGATAGAGGACGACGAGATTACATAACACACATGGCGGGTCTATCTTCATTTGCATGTTAGTTTTGTTTTTGCATTATAATCAAAATATTATAACGAAATGTTAACCCCACCAGCAATTAATTGATACACAACTAATTGCATTACATATTTCCCTTTATTTCCCATGTTTAAGACATATGTACGAATCAAAAGGACGATCAAAGCATGACAAAACTGCACTCACTAAACAATTCGATCTGACAAACAAAATCACATGAATGAACACCCCATATTGTTCAGCGTACAATGATAGCAAATCTGAACCAACTCCATCCAATGGATGCACGATGCAGATCAGGAATTGCAGAACTATTTTATTTTGACGAATTTTAAGAATAAATTGGCCGCATCATTTGAATCGGGTCACCAAATGAAGAATAAATTTGCAAACAATAAGATGTATAATGTACCGTATTCATTCATTCAAACAAAATAGCCATCAGCAGGCCATTTTGACGTACATCCAGGTTGAATAATGTCTGATGTTTCCTGAGTCAGTTGACGTACAAGTGATATTAGAATAAATGGGATTAATTTATCCATATTTACTATATGGGCCCGGCGCAGTCATCTTGAATACGGCTATAAACCAAATAAAGAGACAAGTCGCGAAACGCGTTTATCAGTTTCCTTCAAATAAAGAGAAAAATAACAAACTTTCACAGCTTTCTACCAATTTTAAACATATGGTTGGAAAAAAAAAAATTGATACATCTCATCTATATTGAAAATTTAACCGAAATCGGTTCCGGAATCGCAAAAAATGCTTAATTTCGATGATTTTTCAATATTAAAATGGCTGCTATTTTGCCATATTAAGACGCGCATGGACGTACGCTCAGACGCACGCACGGATGTCATAACATAAGTTCCCGGGACTGATAATGTAATAGTTTGTAATTGTACGCAGAGGACAAATTGCAATAATAAATATCATCCGTTTCAGAGAACATCAATGATCCACAGTTTTCGTCGCAATATACTAAGCCGTAACTGGTAATTACGCAACTAATACATTGTGAATGAACGAGAGAGAGAGAGTTCAGTTCGTAAGTGTGGCAGGAAGGTGTTAAGTTGTCGCTTAAGGGCCCTCAATCGTGACAACTAATAAACAGAATGTGGCAGCTGCGCATAAGAAGAGTATATTGTGCAGTCAATTGAGCGAGCCGACAAACCATGAAATTATATATTAATCCTACCATAGAGGACGTAATGCCCGTATTCTCTGAGATATGCTCAATCTTTTTAGGCGTTATCCATACATTGATTTCGATAAAAATGTTTCTAGAAAATTCCAGCTACGGTGGCATGCATTGTCACATGTTGTCGATGAGCTAGATAATAAAACATGAGTAATACTAATTCGGGACTACATGTAAGTAACCAAGGCGAACGTCAATACACCTGTAATCTACTGAATAAACACATGTAACATTTGTAATATACAAATAGTGAGGATGGCATCCGCCCTATTTATGGTAATTGAACTACATAGATTGCACTAGTTTGGAGATAACACAGCTGTTCAATGTAAATAACTATGTAGGAATGTTAAGATTACGTCACGGTGTGAATACATCGTGATCCAAAGATACTTCACACTAGGTTGCCATTTGCCGTCAAATTTCACATATACGATAGAGAAATGAGCAGTCATTTGCTTTACAAATATACTAAACCTCAGTGTTTATAGTCACGCGAGTTGCTCTAAAATAAATTTATGACACAAATTGTCACTCAGAATTCGTTAAGCGCACGAGAGCCAAGACATGTGTTCGGGGGGGGGGGGTTCTCTGAATAAAATATGGTACGCAAGCTGAAGTAAACAAATGCATAAAGTGGGTGTTATTTAGTTATTTGTCGCGTGTACGCGTGTACCATATTTAGGGGCAAATATTTTAAAATATATAAATAAAGTGTGAAAAATAGGAATTTCAAGAATTCATGTTACCTCAACTTGGAAAGAGTGTGATTTTAGTATGCACAGTATATAGGGTATCTATTTTAAGTTTCTGCACTTGATAAAGGGTATAATAATGAGTACGTGTTTAGAGACTTTTTTTTGAAAAGCTATGCTTCAGCATGGGTATCAGGTCTGACTTGTCGATGCCATGCTAGTAACACACACTTCAAATCACGATGAATATTACATACGTATAGTAAGACCTTCGTGGCGTAAAAGTAAGACATCTTGATAAAAACAATACCACTAATAGAGACATAACAAACGATATATTTTATCATATCCCTTACAATAATTATTAATAAATTATTACATATTATGTGTCAATGTGAATTAACGTGAAATAATTTAAAAAGACAACACAAACTTCCAGAGTGAACAACTCGTTGGGTTAGCATTGAGATTTCTGTTAACGAAATTTAAGTCCGAATCGAATTCAAGACGGTTGGTTGGTCCTATAATAGATATAGGTGAATTAGCCGGAGTTATTATCACTAGTACGTCCGTGTGGTGTTATGGAAGGGCCCCAATTACAATTACAATTACGTGTCGTTTTTTGCTCCAAGAAGGTCTTATAATCCATTGATTTGGTATTTGAATCATGCATATATTAACATATTGATGACGTCAGAAGAAGGCTGTATTTGATTCCGGGTCAATTACAGGGTCATGACCTCGACCTCACACAAGTGCATCTGCTGTGTCTTGTCTTTCAACTGAATGCTGACGTATCTTCCTTGCATCGATTCACCACAGCCACAGTTCATGGTTACTGTCTCCTGCCTTGAACGTTTTCCCATAACCATCATTCCACAAACTGGATTGTTCTCGTGCTTTGGGTCGTCGCCGACGCGAACTTCGGCGTTCTTTAGACGGAAAGCTGCGTGAAAAAAAATGAGTGTTAGGTTGTTACATACTCAAAATCGGTAGAAATAATTAATTGTTTACTATTCAACAGTAGAAAAGTGGAAGCAGAATACTGAAGAAGATAATAACACTTTTTTCTAAAACAACTTCAAAATTAGGATATCTTCACGAAACGACCGTGACCAGACCTGAGAAAGAATCACATGAGGTACCAATATATTCAATATAAAAGCGATCGGGCCGGTGGTTTTCAAGAAGAAGTCGAAAAGTTCACCCAAAATAATTGTCATCAACACTAGTAAATTAAAGATATCATTACGAAATTTGTGAGAGGTCCACCCGAGGTACCTATATACTAAATATCTTGGCAATAGTACTGAAGTCTCACAATTTCAAGATGTCGAAAACATTATTTTCAACCAACTTGAAGATACCGTCACGAAAAGGACAATTCTGAGATAGCTCTAACTGACTTCATCAAACAACGAGAACACTTCAATATTCATACACATGGAACAAAATCGTCAGTATTAGTACCAATGATTAACAATGATTACTAAATGTACTAAAACTGCCAAAATGGCATTGTGAAAAAAATTCATGAAAACTTTATACTCACAGCAACAGTCTTGTCTGTTGGTGATGACAACCTGGTAAACGTCTTTGGACGATCCAAGATCCAATTTCCACCATGGCTGGAACTCCTTATTGGTCCAGGTGCACGACTTTCCAGCCCTCAGGTCGGTATTTTTATTCCCGTCAACAGCTAGTTCAGCTACACCTCCCTGTTTCTTATTTGTGGAGCTTTGGCTGGCTGCTTTTCCGACGGCGATATTACGCAGAACCTCTGGGTTGGTGCAAGCTGGATTTAAAATACGATTAGATGATTAATTTTGGACCACAATTCACCACGAAATGCATGCAACGTTTTGAAGTGTCGATCAAGTAAAACGTTTTAAGGTTGGTCAATATAGTTTTGTTATGATATTAGGATTTGCCGGCACTTCGAAATATTGGTTGTTGTAATACATATATGTAAAAAAATAATTTAAAATTGGGGAACAGTACGACCAGAAGATGTGCGAGAACTCAACATATTTTTAAAGCGGAAATAGCTGCAACTTACAATCTTTTTTCACAGATTTTTATTTTTAATAAATCATTTTCTGCGTCATTAGTGTCAAATGAAAACTGCCATCACTGAAATGTGGACACTGAAAGCACAGTATATACGCTATATAGGCCGAGGTTGTACTTTAAATCACTCGCAATAAGATAATAAAAAATGGAAGCAGGGTTGCGCCCGTGTCTCCAGAGGGCGCCATCTAATGAAATCTAGTTTTGTCATGCGAACTTCAGGGATTACGGTACAATAAGACAACTTTATCAGGGCCCTGAGCGAAATGTCAAATATGTCACAAATTTAAGGACTAGGACTCTCTGAATGTCTCTCACTAATTATATTTCCGATAACAGTGCGCATTGTGCATCGCAATTTTCTACGGTTCCCATCGCGTAACCGAACTGATATTCGACCCTTAGTTTTCATATCGCATTTCACGTGAGCCCTGTGTAGGGTCACTTTTTTGGTAAGACTGCAATTTTCAGCGTTCAGCGTTCAAAACTTGTACACTATAAACCATTAATGCACAGGAAAAGTAGAATAAACACAAAACAAAACAAAAATAAAACTGTATTAAAAACTAAATAAAATTGGACCTACTGAATTACTTAATTGTTGGTCATTTTTTAAGTCATAGCACCATAATTGTGAAAAGAAAAATCGCCTTGTAAGATAATTGCATGTGCTAGTGCTGACACAGTGCATTTTGCCACAGAAGTCTTGTTTGGAACTACAGGACAGGGCTGTGTGGTCATCTCTCTGTCAAATGGCATTTTTAATGCGCTATCCTGGCGTCAACCACGCTCGGTCGAACACAGGCACCTAGGACCTTAACCAAGGTTCCCCAAAGTCACATTCGTAAGTGAATGAATCTTGGCCAGTGGATTGGACTTCAAATTGAGTCTGTGGCACACTCACCCGGGTCAGAGGTTGACCCGTTGATGTTCAGCCTAAGATAGGATTTGAACTTGGGTCTACCGATCATGAGTCTGATGCGACAACTACTATGCTACCAGTGACCGGTCACAATTATATTTACATTGTGTACAGCGAAAAAAATATGCAAATTTCAGCAATGTACATGTGTTTCCGTGAGCACGTGTGCTGTGATGACGACTCCAGTAAAGGTGAAGCCCTGTGCATGTAACATCAACGTCATCTTTGATTTACGTAAACTGTTCACCAAAGAGAAAAACACCAGGAAAGAGTTAGCAATGCTTACCTAACGTTGGGGGAATAGTTGTTACATCAGCTGTAAGACAAAATCAATATTATCAGAATATGCTGCTAATCTGCAAAATTAAATTGTGTCGCAGATATTCAGGCGCATTAAACACTTCAGATTCCGTGAGATGATCCAGGGTCATTTACCAAGTTTAAATGGCTGTCGATAATGTCTTAACTTCACCGAAATGCCACTGGATGTATCGACACTACAAGGCCTTTCAATGACGAATCGTATCAGTGACGTAGCGTCGATGCTGTTTGGATTTGTATTTATCCGCAAATGAAAATGTTTTGAGGTGTGCATATAATAAATGACGAAAGAATTTACAGACAAGAAGAATTATCTTATTAAACGGTCCTGCTTACAACCACCATCGTCATGTTAACGTCACAAAAGTTTTTTTCACTTGAGTGCGTATTCTTATACTCACCAACAGTTGTTGGGTCAGCCTCGGTTGGCTCGGCTGTAGTGGGTCAGCCTCGGTTGGCTCGGCTGTAGTGGGTTCAGCTTCGGTTGGCTCGGCTGTGGTCGGCTCAGCTTCGGTTGGCTCGGCTGTGGTGGCTCAGCTTCGGTTGGCTCGGCTGTGGTTGGCTCAGCTTCGGTTGGCTCGGCTGTGGTTGGCTCAGCTTCGGTTGGCTCGGCTGTGGTTGGCTCAGCTTCGGTTGGCTCGGCTGTGGTGGCTCAGCTTCGGTTGGCTCGGCTGTGGTCGGCTCACTTCGGCTGAACTGTAGTTGGCGCTTTAGTTGTGGGAGCTGCAGTGGTTGATTCGATTTCCACTTTAGAAATAAAATCGGATTTATTATTTATATTAGTTATACGGATCATCGTATCGCATAAAACATCTCATCATAACAAATTTGAGTAACGAAACACCGAACAACTGAGTATAACTTACTGGTGACGTATGCTCGTATTTCATTGGCTCTAATGGTCCTACCGGGTCCCATTTTTTGCAGGATGATGTATCTTCCCTTCATGTTGCAGTTTTTCTCGAACATGATTGGAGCGTATTTGTCGTCGATTGGAATACACACGGGGTTCTGGGTAACAACGGAAGAGCTTCCCACACGCACCATACTGTTAATCAAGTTACCTGCAAACACAAGGTACGCACACGATGAATTATTGTTGAAACATAGTTATCAAATACGCGTTTCCTCTAGAGGCCTCCTAGAGGCGAAGATTTCCGCGACGTGCAATATAGGACATGGCTTATTAGTAACCGTGGTATTGGAAAAAGGAAGGCCCTTCATGACGTGGAATGACTATACAAATGAAACGACTGCGTAATTAGTTTCGTTTTTTATTGAGACAGCGCAAATAATGCGTCTAAAGACCACCGCAGATTATGTCTGAGGATTTGAGGAGTATCCCGCATTTTGACGAAATCCCGCCGATTTAGTAGGCCGGGTATAACAAAAAACTAAGATGCCAGCTAAAAATGTGACGTAAAAAACACCGTGCTCACCCATATTTGAGAGCAGTGTTTTTTGAATAAACTACTTCAAAGCGCGGCAGTCGTCGCTCTGCGCAAGTGCGACATTTGTGTTGATAAACATTGATTTTCCCACAATCCAATGCGCTGTTCTAATGGAAATCACGAGTATGAGGTTTTACCTGAGTGCGACTTGCACTAATTACCGTCGGTGACTCCTTCGATACCTCCCCATCACCTATAAAAAACCTAATTAAAGCTTGGTAACGTCTCAGTTTGTACTCGTTGATCTGCGCAACAGTCAAAGTCGCCATCTTTGTTTATATGAGACCCATATATCTCACGCATGCGTGGCACGACGACTACCGCCCTTTAACGCCAGCCAACAATGCAACAAATATACATTCACTCCAGTCTGAAAACAAGGACAGATACTCACGGCCAGCGTTTTGATCCAACATAAGTTGTAGATTTTTGATGAGATATTCGCTGCCGAGATCAATTTTGAGATAAGGATCGTTCATAGTAGCCGTGGCAGACCATGTTAAATCGTCTTCGTCTGTTAAAGCTGCCGGGTCCAAACCACTACGTACACCACTCACAGGTTTAAAAGCTGCAACATTCACTGAAAAATACGATATTTCGTTAAAAAATATTGTTTAGGCGTTGCAAAACAATTCACTGTTCAGTGATTGGTTCAAGTATGACATTCCTTATATTATAATGGTATATTTATTAATATTTCTTTTGTTTTAAACATTTTAGAAAATTTGACAAAAAAAAAACGATCACCGCCTTCGATTTTAGTGAGTACATTATATGGAACATGAAACTGTAAATAAGATTAGTATCCACCAAATTATACAGGAAGTGAAATAGATGAACAGTTGATGACGTAAAATTCAGATGAGACGGCATAACGCTCGAGCAACTACGGCATCACGCACCTACTTTGTGTGATGACATTGTTAAAATTATAAATCGTGTTGATAGCGAATATAATAGTCGACGATTAGCAAACATATACTACATACCCAATTCAGTTCTGGCATCCACGGCACAGACGAGTAAGGGAAGTGCTAACAGGAACCATTCCATGGTGAAGATGATTGTGGCAATGAAAGACGTCACTGAAAACAAAATGAAAGAATGACGACTAGAGTCCCTTTGCAAACTGTTTTATGCGAAACCGGTTCATTTGTGAACAATGTAATTTTTGACATTACTTGTTACGTAATATCAAAACAATACCCAATTATAATATTTTCAAAAAATACGTTCATAAATTGCGTAATAAACACCTGTTTCTCCCAACATGCTTACATATATTGTTTGGTGTGTTAATTGGTTTAATTAAGTTTGAACGCATTTCTACGTAGTAGGTGCAAGTTGTGACCACCGTGAAATGAAACATTTGAGTTTGCCGACAGCGGATGACCGACATGTGTTGTTTAAGTTAATTATAATAATTACTGGCTGCCGCCGGCCTTTTCATTGAGTTGATGTCTTCCGAAACTGGACGGTAACGTTGTTTGTCAAACCACTAACTCAAATTGTATTTGAGTAAATAGATGTTGGCGTGTCTTTTAACGCACGCATGCTTGACTACAATACTCATAGGCGATTTGACTGCGTGTCGCATTCAAGCGCCTTAACACATGTCGCAAAAGCATGGTGATTATGGCCTCTGTAAGATGTCTGACAATAGTAAAAGTACCAAGCATAATTCATACTAATTTATTTATTACAAAAAACAAGGATGTACGCGGTCTACGGTAAAAAATATAATCATATAGAAATATAATGTTGCAGTCGTATCGCTGCGTCGTGATCGAAAGGTCCACGTGACGTACAAAACACGCGTGATGTGTATTATCGAGCTATAAATTGATAATCGGAAAATTGAAAATCGATCAAATAGCAGACTAAGAAACGGTTCTTTAAACAATCAACTTCTTGCCGCAAAAACGCTGATCGCTTTAATTGCGTCACTTAATTTGTCTGTGCTAAAAAAAAATATTACACACAAGCCATAATTGTATATGCAAATAGCATCAAGACAGCTGGAAAATGCATGTTTTGTTCAAAGGGCTACTTGCATTCAATTAGCTTAACTATTGGGCAATGTTACATCAACATTAGCAAGTGTTAACATTCATTTAATACCATTTTTTGGTTGAGTTTAATACCGATCAACATTTCAAAATACATGTATGTGTACACGGTGTGCAAAAAGAATTTTTTTCAAAGGCGTTGTATAATAATCATAGATTTGTGATATCACCGATGTTTTGAATAATTTTCTGAAAAAAAATGTCTTCAAAATTTGTTCTTGGAATTCATGTTGAAGCATTTGTTTTCACCCCAAAAACAAATAATATTCATTTAAATTGTCTACTTATTCATTTGAAAGCGAGCATAGTTTTGTGGTAACCTATATAAGCTGCTAAAACACGTCATGTATACATTTAAAACCCTGCTGTAAGTTCCTGAATTATCAAATGACTTGTTTTAATGGTCGCTAACTGCACGTACAAAAAGTACCACAGTCGTCGCAGCGTGACTTGTAAATTACAATACGTGACATTTGAACGCTCTGCACGGTGACCCAGGTGCATCGACAGCGATGAACGCTTTCATTTCGTGTTAATAAACAAACTCAGGGGCGGCGGCACAAAGGCACCGAAGGCGCGACCTTAGACCCTCGGCCCTCTGAATTGCTATGTTTTGCATTACATTTTTAGGGTCAAATTTTGCTGACATACATAGCGGTGGATTTAAGTGAAAAATACATAAAGGCTTGATTGGAGGGGGGGGGGGTAGACCGCCTTCTGCCCCTGCTGACATCACCGAAACTCAGACAACGTTAGACTGTCGACAGTCGGTCGTACCTACATGTAATATTAATCTGTTATTATTAATAAATATTGTGTATAAACGTAATAGGCGTGAATTCATTGCGAACGCCGGGACAGGAAGTATGGAGTGCCGTTAGGCACGACCGACTGTCCGGTGCTGCAATTCACTGGTAAGATTTCTTACCAGATTTGGGTACTTCCATATGCAAATGAATAGTCGCACAGATGTCTTACGCGAAGTTTGTTTTGACTGTACCATACGCGATCGCGAGACTTTCCACATCAGTTTTTGATATCCTATCACTAACAACTTGAAATTTTAACGTGAACAAACAACGCATTCAGGGGGTCATTTAGAATATATTTGCATACATTATGTTAATATAATTTATTTCGTGACGTCAGCATCAACTATGAATTATTCATATGAACTAGAAACCTGCAGAAAGGGACAGTCTCTCGGGACTAAAGTTCCTCGCGGGAAATGGTTTGCATTTCCCATCAAACGCCCTCGGCGTTCGAATTTCCAGGAAAGGCAGTTACATTAGGCCCGAGGACTTAGGCTGTCGAAAGTCTAAGACAATGTCAGCATCCACAAGCATATGTACAATGCCGGGAAAAAAAGAGAATAAACACAACATAGTACAACATAGTAAGTCAATTCCATGAGAGGTGTGTTGACCTGCTGAATATCAAACAAGGGCGATGTCGTGCCTTAGAGAAGATATCGGCAAAATCTATTTTTTATAGTTATAATTCCATAACTCGATCAATTTGATTACGTCACACTAAGAAAACGTGACTAAAAACATGTCACTAAATATAATTAGGATGGACATGGATACGAACACCTAATTACACGAAGAACATAGAATACTTTCCTGGGGTATTTGAAACCGAAAATGTCATCTGAGTAAGGCCGTCGCTGATTGGCTGCTGAGTTGGAATGACGATTTTCGGTTTAAAATACCCCAGGAAAGTGTTCTATGTTCTTTGTGTAATTAGGTGTTTGTATGCAAGGGACTTTTCCACACAAAAACGCCGAATTCGGCCGAATTTTGTTATCGGTTGGCTTAATAAAACCCCAACGGATCGCATTTTTGTGAAAAATTTGTATTTTTGTCCAGATTTGTAGGAATCTGCAAAACGCGTTTCACAACTTGTCTCTTATTTAGTTTTATGCTGCATTCAAGATGGCGGCCCCCATATAGTAAATATCGTATTTATTTTATTATCACGTGTGCGCCAGCTGACTGTGATTCGATGTAATGTTAGTTGGTAGTAGGCAGCCAGCCAATATAGTGTATTGTTTAGATGTATGGAGAAAACAGACTAGCCAGTCTCACTCTACATATATCACCTGATATCACTAGAGTGAATGACAATATTAGTTTTGCACTTAAATGTTATTATGACGTCATTCAAAATGGCCGCCATAACGGTACAGACTAATTTCATGAAAATGGTCATATCTTTGAAAATATAAGAGCAAAAGAGCTATAAATTGGCATGAATGATACTCAAACCACAGTTGTCAAGCTGTGTAAACATTATCGCGAAAGGTTTACAATTTGTGGTTTTAAATAACATTTTCATCAACCTGCTACATGTCATTAACAGATTATTTGGGTTTTATTGTCACAAACTAAAAAAAATATCTTCCACATGTTTCGTTTAACAGTAAAATCTTAGAAAAGAAATACAAATAAATAAAATCACATATACAAGTTTTATAGTTATACTCTAAACTCGATATAACCTAATAAGCACCAATATTGAGTTCATACCACTTAGTGTACATTTGTAGATCTGCAATCAAAGTATTAATATAAACAGCTGTGCTATTCAACTAAATAGTTTGTAGCATAGGTGGTTCACAGCATTGTACTAATATAAAGTATGGTTACTCAAGCCCTCAGTTTGCAGTCAGGTAGGAACAGTTTTCGGCATTACAGGAACATGAAGGTGTGCAAATTCGCCTTGCCTGGCTGCATTCGCATGCAGCATATTTGCATTTGGTTTGACAACCACATGCAATTAATTCCATTCAGGATGTAGTCACTGCAGGTAGAGTCATCCACATTACTCCAAGCCCTTTTCACTAGATCTCCATCCACTTGACATTTCAGCTGATCCAGCTGTGATGATATTTTGTTGGTTGTCTGCATTGAGCCAAACCTTAGCCTGGTAGTTTGGTCTTGCATCCTTCGTTGGTGGAAGTTTCTCCATTTCTTTCTTGGCTTGGCTTGGCTGGCTGCCTATTACAAAATCATAGGCAATAACAATTCACATTTACATTTTGGGCCAGGATTACCACTTCTGATCAGTTGATCAGGTGCACGTCACTTTTTTTTTCGAGATTTGGTCAAAGATGGTCGACTGGCGGCCATTTTGTTTTTTCCGTTTAAGTGCTGATTCCTCCATAAGATATGGTCTGATTCACTTGAAAGTTTGTACATAGGTAGTATACTGATTTGATCAAATTTGTCGAAATGGTGGCGATTTTGTCAAGAAAACGTAAAATATCATTCTGTAACATGTCTGGAACTGTTTCTTGCAGATGAACAGGGCGATATGGCCTGATTCAGTTCAAAGTTGAATATTTCCAATCAAACTTTGTATGATGACCTTACATATTAGGTTACGGTGCAATCCATATTTCTTTTGGAGATACTTGAACAACGATACCCAACAAGTTACGTTTTTCTTCCATGCTATTTCCTCTGTAAAATATAGTCCAATTCAGTTCAAAGTGTCAATGTAGGTACTATGCTGATAGTAACACACTCTATAATCTGTGTTAGTGTTAAAAAAACATTGATCTACATGTCACTTGTACTGAACATTTACATCGACTACAGCTAATACTAAACGGGGACAATGCATTATCAATGTTTGTTTTATTTAATTCAACAATGATTTATAACAACATTAATGAATCCCCCATAGTGTCCCATGGAATGAGAATAAGGATATATGGTAATATCATATCTGAGGCGAAGTCGAACCCAATATCGCGTCTAGGCTCTTCAGCGAATCCATTATAACGTTGTGGAGATATATTATAGATGTTATAAATCATTCTCATGATAATTAAACAATTTTATTTAAATTTGGAAGATTTTTATTGAAATGAATTCATTTGCTAATATTCTTTTGGTAATGAAAAGTTATGTCACCATAAAAACATTGAACATGAACATTTCTTAACAATATTTGATACTATGATTTACCCTATCTTAACTAACGGGTCTGAAATTTGGGTTCACCAGGGTTGTGAAACGCTTGAACGCGTCCAGCACCTTGCATGTAGAATGTTCTTGGGTGTTTTCCAAAATGCACCAAATTGAGCAGTATTAGGAGAGTGTGGGCGTTACAAAATTTTATTTAACACGGCAAAAAGATCCGTTAAATATTAGGCCAAGATATCCCCGGAAAAGGTTGTGTTATGTTACTTCAACTAGATACGTCCCAGATGAGATACAAACCAAATTGGGTGACCAATGTTAAAAATTTATTATTTTCCTAATTTTGTTAACATTTTTGTTTCTAGACTAAAATATCGTTTATACTTAGATTGGCAAGGAGATGCCACAACTTCGGACAAATTGAATAATTATTGTATTTTAAAACGCGGCTTGAGCCCGAGCGTTATTTGTTTTCTATTTCTATTCCCTATCATAGGTTTATGTTATCCCGTTTTCGTTGTTCTTTGTCTTAGGATAGAAACCGACAGGAGAAATGATATTCCAAGAGATGAACGCTTTTGCCCACTTTGTGGAAACGTAGACATTGAAGATGAATTACACTTTTTTGTTGACTTGTCCTTTCTTGTATAAATTTAGGAAAACATACATCCCTAGATATTATTTTACCCCGCCCTCATATGAGAAGTTTTTAGCTTTGTTAATTTCAGAAGACGCGTAAAAATGAACAACACAAGTTCAAATAGAGATGACAAATTCAACACCAAAAAAGACGGCATTACTTCACAATTGAGTTTATGCTGTTTTCTCGATTTTAGCTATTTTAGCGGCACACGTCTTAGCAACGTAGAACGTTCTGTGATGTAGATCCGCCCGAGAATAGCCTTCGAATTATTATTTTGTTCTCGTCAACCAGTTTCTGCGCACGCGGAACATTTAAACTAGTGTGCCCTCCTTATATGCGATCCTCC